ATTTTGTTCATAATTTCGAAACTTCTTATGATTGGTTTATGGGTGTGTTAAGCATCGTTCTTATTATAATTTAAAGTGTATCCTTGTATCTTTATTAAATTTCGTATTTAGAACATCACGACCATGAGGATGATTTAGATTTAATTATGTAGGTGGTAAATCCAATATTATTTTTAACAGGTAGTTATATAGACATCAGTGTTAAGTGCGAAACGAAAACTTCGATATGGGTGATAAAATATTATACCGTGTGGATAATATAGCTACCTATGTAGGTACTGTTATGGAGATATTAACAGCAATAAAAATAGTTATGATTCGGATATATGTTGTGAACTCTTGTTTTGAAAATAAATTAAAGGTGCCACTCAAAATGCATTTATAACTTGTAATGCTGTCAAAACAATAATGGATTTTACGAGTGCCGCGATTCGAATAATTAGAATATTACGATTTATGTTCCGTACCAAACGTTATCATTATCGCTCCCGGCGAAAGACTAAATCCAGTTTTTTAGTATAATTTTTTATTTTCTGCAGTTTTCACAATATTCTCAATCTCACGAGAAACACGCGCCTGATGGATGTTTGGTGCGCCAGAATTCAACAGCCAGCCGGCGGCCCGATTGTACATCGGATGCATAATAATATTGCACTGCGGGACTGCAGCTGCTGTACAACGGACGACTGGACGTGTCTCTACTCGTTCTAAGACTTTGACCGCGAACACATTATAGTGCCTATAGACAGTATAATATATTATAATAGTGAATGCTGTAATAACAACGTAGGCGATACACTATATATACAACATACGAGGTGCTCGTCTACAGTATATTATATAGGTAGGTACGTCGTGTATTACGTGAAAAAAAAAATAGAAGGTAATTAGCCGTACTCATTCAAAGTCTAAATTAATAATATTCGACGCGGTAAAATGCGTAAACATTCAAACAGTCGTGCACCCGTGTAACCCAAGTTGTTCTCCCCCGTCGAAGCAGTTGCGTCATAAGGACAGGTGGCGGTGCATTCGGTGTGTGTCGATAATAATATAATAATAATGTTATGTACGCGCGTAGGCTGTCCAAACACTACTTGAAAGTACCTACACGAATAAACGACACGGACGTCGTTTGTGCATTATATATATATTTATATATCACAGTTTTTCTCGATCCGATTATGTGATTTGATTATTATTATTTTACAGAAGATCTCAAGGACAACGGCAACGTTGGTTTTAATTTTTACCTAGGCATAAATATATATTATACACGCTCGGATATAGGTGCATAGCGTCATAAAATTACCATCATACCATTATTGCCCGTCGAATATGCGTGGTCCTAAATTAGGGGGTCTTTCGAGCTTACACGTCAAGGGGACAAACGATTGTTGCGTATAGGTAATTTAGTGTTTTAAATATTAATGATATTATTATATAACTCGCGTTCGACTCGAAACTTTATTCCTTAGAAAATATTATCTACGACGGTAATCGTTAGGTATATAGTAGTCCTGGCTCGTGGAAATAGGTTTAATCTTTTCGATCTCTAGAGTCGTTTACAAATGTCTGTTTATAATATTCTTCATCATTTTGAGATGTGATTTCGGGGAAAAATGCAAATTTCATTTAAAATATAAATGTTATTGCTAAATAGTAGATATGTACACATTTTGTACCAATACAAAATGGAATTTATTACAAATGAATTTCGTCGGTAGCCGGTCAGAAAAACAGACATTTATGAATATGTTTTTGCTGGAAATTATATTTACCTAATAAGCTATATTATCTAACACAGTAACACCACGTCAACCTACTACAATAAGCATTAATTATGAAGTTAAATTATTTGTAATGATTCGAAAGTCACGAATTGAACTTACGAATTTAAAATTAAATCAATATTGATATGCTCTCAAAGTCTAAAATACATTTTTTAAATATATTTTCATGGTCCATAATATAATACAGTTTTTTAAATAATATAAATTGCATTTTACTGCAATATAATTTTAAAAATAGGTAATAGTTTTATATGAATCATACGATTTTGTTTATTTTTTGTTACTTATACGATAAATACGGCGGGCTGCAGAATAAGAATAACTGTGTAAATAACTGCGTTCCTAGTACCAACCTATAACGTATAAGTCTATAGTATTAAAACTTAAACAGACAAACAGTTTATTGTATTATATAATATGTAGGTATGAATGCAAACTGTATGTTTGTTCAGTTATTGACACTGGCTTAAGTATTACTCGTGTCTCTTGTCATGCACCTATTGTTAAACTTCTCAATATCAATAGTCAGACATGTAGCACTATAATAAGTACAGTATGTAGTGGATTTGAAGAGGGCCGGCCACTTTCAATTGTGCTATGAAACCATGTTTCATAATAATAATTATATTGCAACAAAAAAAAATTAAATTCCAAAGGTACCCAATATGACGTCTAAAGAAATCGTTTTAATTTATATTTACACTAGCTCAATTTTTATTAGAAAATATGAATCGGTTTAAATCAAACATTGATAGATAAAGATAATGAGTAGATATTAGCACATTTTAATAATAATTTTTTAAGGTAAAACTTTTAGTATTGTAATTTCTTGATTGATAATATTATAATAGATAAATAATAATTACAATATCAAACATAGAATTTCTCTTTTTATTTAACAAAATAATTACTAAATAGGTATTTAAATATATATCACATATAGATCGTTGAAGTATATTACTGCGTATTCATCTCTATTATTTCTCAGCTTGTTAGCTACCCGGCCCAACCTATTTCAGTATAAGCAGCCCAAAAAGATCTGACCTGACTGTCTGAATACTATCAATTCTTTTAGAAAACCAATAAGGATGGACTAAATGTGTATACGTCTGGGCAATGTATAAGTTCCCAAACCACACATAACAGGTAAAACTCACCCGTAAGTTACTACACGAAAAATACACCCCTACGTGTAAGTTCCTATACACCTATTAATAAAAAAAAATCACTTAAATGATGTCATTTCTTAGGATTAAAAATATAGTCTTACACAACAATGACAATATTTTGAAACTAAAACCAACTTTTTTCCCACTTTATTCAGATTTAGGAGTTGGGACTGACAAATTCAATGTAGTTGATGAAATTAAAATTGTTTGTTTTTGTATTGAGAATAAATAGCATCTCAACTATCCAACTTTTAACAGTCAACGAGCACCAGTATAAGTACTCCAAAAATGGATTGTCCATGATAAATTTTTGTATCATAATAGGTAGGCAATAAAAATGAGTCTGTATAGTTCAGATTATGTTAGGTACCTCCAAAATGTTTTAAGTTATTATATTATGACACACAAAACGTACAATATACTGCAGAAAATAATGCATATTTAATTTTATCTACATGTTGGAACTCTCGTATGAGTGTACAACGTACCTACTGGGTTTTTTCCTATAGGACCTTATGTATGATTCGTTTACTTGCTGTGTTTCGTGTGGGAACTTACCAAACCCCATATGTCTGCCCTACCCAAAATACGCCTCTGTGTGGTTTTTTTTTTTATGTAAAACGTGATCATTTTTACAATTCAGCATAATATACACATACCTATACGTATTTTAATTCACGTTTTATTGTTTCAATGTGGCATGAATCTAAAAAGTTGGTCTATCATGATTTAGATTTTATGACGGTTGTTAAGCAACATCATATAACATAATATATATTTCAGATACTTTTTAAGAATCACAGTAGAAGCTACGATTGATGAGTATTCTACATTTCTACCTAGATGACTAACTAAATGTTGTTAAGATTGATACGAGTTTCTATAATAAATTAGTATCGTCGTAATTATTTATCATCAATAACCAATAAGTATGTTTAGCTAAATGTATAAGGTAGTTGAAAAATCGTTATCCTTCAAATAGCTTCTGAGTATCAGAATGTTTTACAAAAAATCGTTTTTGAAAGTGAAAATTAAAAATAATAAGTTAGCTATAATTGAATAATACAAGATAAAGTGAGTATGTGACTATAGAAACGTTTTGAGACGTTTTCAATTTTAATGTAACGAATATAATAATAATAAAATATATGTGTAATAAATCTATTCGTTTTGCATCGTCACTATATTAAGCAAATCAGGTCGTCACGTTATTTTAAATGTGCGGTACTTCTTCTAAGAACATAAACGAAGATGATTATGATAGGAGCGAGTTTCAACGCAACGTATGTGTTCGTGGTAATAAAAGAGAAAAAAAATGTTTTAATAAGTGGATATTACGATACGATTTCTATAATTGTAGATCGACGCTTGAGGCTATTAATCCTAAACGTTAAATTTTGTAAACAAACGATTTTATAATATTACACAAGATTAAGTAAAATGTACATATTATGCCTTGCCTAGGATTTCTAACATCGTTGAACAGTTTAATATTATTGTTACCAGATATTCAGATGGTATAGGTATCGAAAATTGAGAATCATGCGCACTATTTACGAAACGTACAAAGTAAAAGTAATTGATTTCAATGGTACGACAAAACATTGTGTCTTAAATTTTAATTAAAAAACTGACTCGTGTTATGTACTACAATAATAATTTACTGCAATGCACCTGCCTATAACCTATCCACCACGTTAAATACTATATCTATACATCAAATACAACACTCAAAACGGACGTGGAACATATACCGCGGAATATCGGCGATTACCAGTTTTTCTTCATAATAATAATCGCCGCGGGATTAAGATATATGATTTCGGAGTCTAGTGGGCAACAATAATAATTGAGTGTCGTTAACCTCTGGGCTGGACGTGGCTGATGAATATATCTAGTTATTGCATAATGCCCACACGTTTCTGTAGTTTCAAGTTTCCTACTTCTTTCGGCCGGCCAAAGTAATGCATCGCGACCATAGGCCTAAAAATTCATCGAAGGAAGTGGTTCCACCCTACCCATTCCAGGTACTCGGATGTAAAATGAACTTGTAACATAACCTTGGCCGTGAGTTTACATAAATAGGCTCGACGAGAAGAAAGTAAAAGCAATAATCTTTCTCTCGCAGTTCCAAAATGGTTCGAAAATATCACACAAAAACTATGGAGCTTCTGGTGAGTAATATTTTTTTAACTTTAGTAATTTTATGTTTATTAATATTGTGTTTATGAGTAAAATGCGTTTTTGATTTTCGTTTGGACATTTTACCAGCTACTTTTTTTCGTAAAAGTTACTACTAAGTAATAATAATTTTTTGTTCTAAACAATAATTAAAAGTATCGTCATTTTTTTACGAAGGTTTTCGTCGTTTAATATTATAATATTCCTGATTTGTATTACATACATGATATATTATCATATTGATGAAGTCATATACAATATGGTGTTGAATTATTATTTTTATTTGTGTATAATTTTTTTTAATTACATCTATTTATAAATATTATAATTTATATTTATATCATAATCAACACTTCAACACATTTTATTGGAATTATTTTAACTTTCATTATAATAATTATACCACTTTAAACAAGATAATCATCTAATATCCGATTTATTAACTTTTAAAACTAAGTCATAAGGGGGTGTAACTTATAAATAATAATAGTTGGCTCATAATCGTACTATATGTATTTTGTACATCAAGTATATTGTATAACATTAGTATTAGAGTTTAATTTACTTTCAGAAATATACCTTGATCGGTTTGATCGTGACGTGTTTGTCAGTGGCAGCTGATCCATTAAAACAAAAACCACAGACATTGAATTCTTCACCTGCAAAAAAATCCCAACAACAAGTAGCTAATGAGTTAAAGCCAGATTTTGTACCAATATACATGTATGCCAGAGAAAATTCATTGGATGGTGATTATAACTTCAAGTGAGATTTAAAAATTAATTGTATGATTTTATTTAATCACCACATAGACCATAGTCAATAAATTAAAAAGATGCAATTTTTCTTGGCCCTGTACCAGTTTGATTCCATACATTTGGTTAACTGCTTGTTGCACATTATAAAAAAAGAAGTATTTATATGGATAGTGGATAATAGATATGACTTAAATGTAGTGTTATATAGTGATTTTTTTTAATTCATATATTTTATTTTTTATAATGTATTTTAAAATATTATAAATATGTGAACAAAAACATAAAATACCTAAGCCATATAAGAGTGGTATTATTTAACAGTTAACATCGTTTATTAATAAATTCCCTATAAAAATCATAACCTATTTTAAGATCGTATAAAAAAATATTCAATCCTTGCAGTACCTAGTAGATATGAAGGACCTATGTACATAGATCTTGAAATTTTTAAAATCCTTTTGTATCAATTGAAAATTACTACGGCGTGGGAAGTTGACCGTACCTAATAGAGTGTTTTACAATTTAGAGGTTACGGTTGGTTAGATGAAATAAACATTAAAACATGAGTATTGAGGAATCGCATTGCTAGATACGAATGAGGAATCATTTTTCTATCGTGGGATTTTATGATTAAGATTTAGGATAAATCAAATTAGCAAATATTAGTTATTTATGAATTAAGTATAAAATAGTTTTCATAATATTATCATAACAGGAAAAATAATAACTTCATAACAATTGTAGAACATATTTTACATAATAAAAATGTAATAACCTTGAAAATCCGTTGTAACTTATAACAATACTATATATATACATTGCCGCAGAATATATTTTCAACACAGTTTTGATGTTCATTTGTGTAAGTTCAAACTTTTCAAGTTTGAATTGACTTATCTCTGTCAAGCAGTAATGTTAATTATTTTCCATGTAATAGGCAGGGATATCTAACTATTATTTGAGCTGTAATATATAAATGTCTGATAATAAATAGGATTTAGACCTAAAATCAGTTATCAGTTAAGTAAATTGTACATAGATAAATAAATAAGAGCTAATAGACTGAGGAGCATATTTAAAAAGTCTTAACCATTCTTAATTTTGCTTATTTGATTGATGTGAGTTATACTTGACGACCGATGCATATAATTCTAAATCATAAGGTTAGCGCGTCAAAAGTAGGCAATGGAAAAAAGTTGTCTAATAAATAATAAACTGGTATAAATTATTGATCGTCTATAAGTTATAACATATCAATTCCAAGTATGATATATTTTTGCCCCCACGTAATATACAGACAAGTATTAAAATATACCTGTATTATTATATACTTGAACTGTCTTATTATTATTTCTCTCAAAATATGTAGACAACTAGTATATTTGTAACTTTCGTACTCAAAAATCATATAAAATTTAAACTTTTGTGTGCCAATAAGCTTTTTTAAAATTTTAAGCCAAGATCTTAATTTTGACCCACTAAACTTATATTTTGAACCACCGTATTTTTGTAAGTGCTTATAATAATAATAATAATATTATATTAGGTAGGAACTGAGTCTAAATTTTATTTTATGTTCCGTAAAATTAATGTTAGTGAGTAAAATTTAAACATTTAAAAGATATTGATTGCATGGAGCTCATAATATAATGATTATTATGTACTTATACTACTCTGCCACTTTCTCAGACATGTCCTATAAACTTGGTTGTTTACAATAAAATAAAATGGCCAAGAAAAGTAATGAGACATATTTTTATTGAGTGCCTATATAGGTACTGCAGTTATATTTAATTCACATTATATGGTGGCAGGATTCAGGAGTTATCCTATATATTCCACTAAATGTATTTATTTTTATCTGCTACCCCGCGAGAATATCTATATCATTACATATGCCACCTACTTGTTGATTATTTTATTCTCGCATGAATGTCGCCGTAAGATATAGTAGTTGCATATTATTTGTTCAGTTTCTAATCCTGTTCATTTCATTCGTGTTGGTTTATGCCTATACACGCCCACAATATATATATATATATGATGTACATTTTATATGCTGCAGATATGAAACCGGAAATGGCATTTTCGCGGAAGAACGCGGCGTTATGTTGAACAAGGGAACTGAAGACGAAGCGAACTCGGTGGTCGGCTCGTACAAGTACATCTCTCCGGAAGGATTACCGATAGAGGTGACGTACACCGCAGGAGTAGAAGGGTTCCGAGCATACGGAGCTCATTTGCCCGTTGGTCCACCAGCGGCGTCCAACTTGCCCAAAAATTTGGCGTACAAAAACGTCGCCCAGACGACCGCCTTCGCCCGGCCCCAGTTTAGGTCGACCAACTCCGATTCGTCGGACGATGACGGTCAAGCGCGGTCGGAGCAACAGCTTCAAACAGTTTCGGAGCTGCCACAAGTGCGATCATCGGAGCAGCCACAAGTGCGGTCATCGGAGCAGCCACAAGTGCCATCGGCGACCGAACAGGTCAGCGCTGGTCAAGCGGCCAACGACTTGGCGGAACAGTCGCAGAATGTGTTGTTCGTGGGCCAAGGGCCAACTGAAAAGCCACTGGAGATGATCGTACAAGCATCGGTCGCGGCGGCCGACCAATCGCAAGGCCCGTCGGCCGGTAATCCCCAAGACTATTACCAACAGTTCCAAGGCCAACCCGTTCCGGAACTGCAATCGGCCTACCCGTCTTCGGGACCTACACCACAACAGCAGCAGCAACAGCAGCAACAGCAGCAACAGCAACAACAGCAGCAACAGCAACAACAGCAGCAACAGCAACAACAGCAACAACAGCAGTCCACCATGCAGAGGTTCGAACCTCCCAGATCGTCTGCGCCATCCGTCGTGCCCGTCCTGCAGACGATGCCCCAGGCTGTCCAGACTCAGCCAAAGGTCGTGCCAGTATTGCAAAGGCTGGTGCCCGGGGGATATCAACAGCAACAGCAGCAACAGCAGCTGCAGCCTCAGTTCAACGCGAGGCCGGTCCAGCAACCACCTTTTAACCAACAACAACTGCCTTTCAACCAGCAGCGACCGATTTTCAACCAGCAGCAACGGCCCGGAACTGTACGTCAGTTCAGCATTGAGCCGCAGCAAATGTGGTACGTTCCGAACAACCAACAAGGACGGTACTTCCAGTTGCCCCCTATGCAACGAACACTGGGACCGCCCAAGTACTAGGCTTCGTCGTCGTCTGCAAGTTTACCAACAACTGTTCGAACCTTCGTCTTATTCCGCGATCTTTTTTTTCTGATTTTTTTATATTATATGTAATTTATTATATTTTAATAATTAGTACCCACCTAAAATATATACATATGATACTATATTATAATATAATATACGTAAATGTACTGTCGATTAGCTGTGTAGTATTGTGTATTTGTGTATACGTCTTTATAATAATATGATGGTTTGTACGACGATTGTCGTCTAGCGTATTCGTGTGAAAATATTTAACATAAATCAATAAATTCGATCACTGCGAGCGTGATCAATGGGTACTTGAATATTCGCATCTAATTCTTTTCTATAAAATATTATACACTCACCTGCTACGCAACGTTGTTGATGACGAGCACATAATAACTGCGGAGATGCGAGTGCGAAAAAAAATGGTCACACTATTAATGGAGTGGGCATGATGCCTTTCTAGGATGATGTAGGTACCTAGTGCCTATTAGGCGTGCCCGTTAATTGTATAACAATAATGTTTTATTATTGTATCCGTTTTGATAATTATTTAATAGCGTGAGTTTTATAATATTAAACAGTGGGTGGACTGTACCTAAATCGGGCAGTATAAAATACAAATAGAACCTTTCTTTCTACCCCGATTAACACGAAAATTAACGTTTAGGGAAATATTTTTTTTTTTTGTACACAATTTGAAATTATTACAAAACCAAATTTTTGAAAATCGGTATCTAGTGTACATTATATTTTCTACTGTTATCACTAATTATTTAGTAAGTTTTATTTTTTGACCAAGGGTGCCTTCTAAAAATTTGGTCTGCCTCTCTTCATCTAAACTTTAACCACGTCTTGTAAGTCATAAAAAATCAATCACAGTTTCATTATTTGTAAGCTTATCCCCGTTATTTGCCATATAATAATGAATTTATTTAAATTCTGATTTTTAAATTTTCAAGCAGTTATACTTAAGGTCATATTTATTTCGAAATTAGTATGTATTTATAATTTTACACCATTTAAGGAGATTCCTGTGGTGATACAAAATTACAAACTTCGTTTTTTTCGAATGATAAACAACCTTTTTTTCATTGAATATTGTCAAGTCAAGTCAAGTCAAGTGTTATGTCAGCGCACTGTTTGTTCATTCTCTTATTTGGCCCTCACGCAACATACACAAAACACATTCACGTATAATCGGTTTTGGAATTCTTGTGCAATCTTAGAGTAAAAACTCCTATAACAAAAATTATAGTAGATTATATTTTGGAGGGTTTGACAAATCAGTTTTAAATGATATTATTATTAGACTTCATATTCGATTATAAAAATAAAAATAAAGGTTGACAATGTTGTAAATTTAAATGGGTATTAAATCGTTTTAAGACTATTTAGACAAATCGATGTAATGGATATTATATACTAAGGATAATAGTCCTTAAAAATTGTTCTACAAAAATAAATGTAATATTGGATCAAGTATTTTTTTATGCACAACTTATCTGAAATTTTAACAAATTGTAAAATGTTGATAGATTAATATTGGGGTTGCAAAACTATAAATTATTAATATTATTATTATTTTTTTTTGCTTATAAATGCTTTAAATGGTTGCTATTGGTTACAATTTGTATCATTATTTGTTTTGCATCATGATACGTTTGCCATTGCGCTATGCGAGTCAGTATTATAACCTGCAAAGAGCACCAATAGATGTTTCACATCCAAAAAAAAAAATTGACTAACAATGTATAGAAAAAAGGTGATTATCATCTAAAAAAAAAAAGAAGTTTCCATTTAAACATGAGCACATGATATGAGTATAAAATTATTTGAAATTATAGTCCTGGAATAATTGATAGTTGAGCTATAACTATAGTATTAAGTATTAACTACCAGTCAATAATAATAATAATAAAAAAAAAAAAATATTGTCCTGTAGTCCGTACACTAAAAATTCCATAAATAGAATTTTAATAAATTAATTATAAAAGGAATATAGGGGTTAGCATACTTGGAGAACCATATCGAATATATACACTTTCAGAAAAATTTTCTACTTAGTTTTATGAAATCAAAAAAGTAAAAAACGATTGCAAAAAAAAAAAAATGTAATTTGTAACGACTTTACAGAATATTAAATAAAAAAGAATTTCAATAACGATAGTAATTTTCGTAATATTCAGAATTTCAATTCAACAGAATCATCCAGTAGGTATATATGCGTATATATGGAATGAAATGACGCACAAGGTCAGGGGGGCCAGGGTAATAGCGAAATTTCTGACGTCTTTGAACGGCGGTTTAAAAAAAATCTTTTTAACGACCATATCGAATCGGACCATCAGAACATTAGTGCGTAGTACAACTCATATGATTAAGGTTCGCGCCTTGAGATAGTTTGAATTTTGCACAATTTAAAACGCTAATAGAGTATTTTAATCAAATCTTACTACATTACATAATATTCTAGTATATATAAAAAATTAATGTTTATTTATTCGTCCTCTACAGACTCAAAAACTGTGCGTCTATACTGAACCGTTTTCAATTAAAGTTATAGGTACCGATAGATTTCTTAAAAGTTAAAACTCTGAGTAACTTTATTTTTCAACCCGGTTAACTATAAAAGCCACTATAGCCATACACTATACCTAACACATGCATTTTGTTTCAGCTCACGAAAATCAAATATTGTTTTGTTTTTTACGCATGGGATTTCCATGAGTTTCGGATAATAAAACAGCTATGATGATTGGATATAATTTTCTGTATTTATTGTATTATATAATAACATTATAAGCCTATATGTCAAAATTTGTGCGACGACTTCATTTTATACTATGTATTCAATATCGATATTTTGATATAAAGGCTAATACATGAATGTAAAATTGAGTTACAATGAGTTACAACTGAGTTACAGGTTTATATGCCAAAAAAAAGAATTAGACGAAAGATAATATTGAGAATATTTCAACTGAAGCAAAACGGAAATGATCGATTTCAATTTTGTAGGATTATATTGTATTTATAAATGGCGTATATGTAAATCCATAGTTTTTGACCAGAAGGCACCAATAAATTGTCTACACACATTATTTGGGGTTTCAAATGGGTTGTAAGAGTATCAGAGTTGAAGTCGCGGGTAAGAGCTATTAATCTATCATTTACAAAAGGCAAAGTTTATGGCTGAGGTTTATAGAATCAAAAAGCACTCGATTGATTTTAACGATTCAAGGAAGGTTTGGACAATAGGTCGAACCAAGGGGTGGCTTCTCCGCTATTAATAAATAATAATATTAAAATCATAACCACGTGTTCGTTTACTTTTGCTTGCAATTGGTTCACGCGAGAAAAAAAAGTTACTCATTGCACTATCCCCCACTGGTGAATTGCCCAACTCGGGGATTCAGTTATCTCCACGGCAACGCGTACAGCTAGTATTATATAAAAAATAAATAAATAAACCACAAGTGCATCGTCTACAACGACTTTGACTTTTACCATAAGAAATCATATTGTCCCGGGCGTAACTAAAACTAAACAACTTTTGACTTAGGTACCTATACACTGGCCACCACACTATTAATATAATATTATGTTATGTTGGGGCGTAAGTACTCCATAATATAATAATATAGAGTATACGTCATACTCGGTCCCGTGCCGTACTGTCCGCACGATTTTTTACTTTTATTTTTTCAATTGATGTGTATTGTGCTTAGTATAATTAATTACAGAGTACTATCAGGTGCTCTAAATATTATGTATAGCTATATAACGAAACCCAATTTCCTATGCACTCGGTATCGAGACGACTTATTTATAATATTATTACGTCATGCGCGTACGGGGCTCGTGCATTCGACACCTTCAGAATAATGATAATAATAATTAAAAAAAAAAAAACCAGTTCTCTTGATACAACATATAGTTGATATACGCGTATTATTATTACTACAATTATTGCTATTATTAAACACTAAGTGTGAGCACTTACACGTACCGATCGGCGTTTTAATTTTATTTTTTTTATCACGTATTACAAGAGCACATGCTATCGATGTCACGCAACCTTTATACCACGTTGCTCGCGCTCGTACTCGTCCCGATTGTGTCGAGTGGCGGCTGTTCGGCGCAGGTATATTCGCTAATTTTACCGGGGCCGAACCGCGTCGAGCGTGCGAGATGATCGACAAGGTGTTTCACAAGACGAAGAGCACAATATATCTGCTGCAGCAGGTCCGTTCTACTCCTCCGCCATAAATATATTAATATGCAGAGAAATAATAATAATCGCATCGTAATGGTACGAGATTTCTTTCTTTCTGTTATCCGCCCCCCCCCTCGATCGCAACGACGATGAGCTGCAGCGAGCCTGCGAGATATCTGTGTCGTTATTATTATTGTTATTATTATTATTAATATGACGTTCGAAATCCAACCGATGGTGATATTGGTTGATGTGTGTGTTTTTTCGCAGCATAATATACAATACGTCATATTAGGACAGGCGTAAATAGGGAATCGAACCAATGTGAGCCCTGTCACTTTGTTAGGACTGACCATTGGCACATTTACGGCTGAGGGAGAGGGGTGATCTTGGTGATATATATCACTCCCAATAGCCTTTTTTTGCTTTTTTATTTTTCTTCAAATGACCAATTTGTTGATATATTTTTCAATATTAACTACCTCTTCACTTGTACCCATTACTAACTAACTATACTGTACTTATACCTATAATATACCTATAACTTTATTTGTTAACAGCACTTGTACACTGTACAGCATCAGGAAAGTCGAGTAATTAATTAGAAAATAATACACCGGTGGATAGCGTGGTGTGGGGGGGGGGGGGGGGTGATAAAGCTCTTCCTAAGCACGCCAAGCACGGGCCACTTTGCGACGATGATCAGGTATACTTAATATTATAATGTGATGCTACCGTCCATACAATCAAAACACCGAGATATCGCAGACCAACGACGGTCGGCGATTATCCGGCCTCGGCGATAGTCGTGTACCTGCTATCAACACGCAGCGGGGGAGAGAGGAGCGACAAAGGGGGGAGGGGAGGGACACGTCAAAGTCTTTAATATTATAGTGTTTATAATGGCGTAGGTAATGATACATATCGCGTGCTTGTACGTGACGATCACTCGATCACTGCGCACCGCAGGAAGCTCGTTTGGTATATCCACCGACCGACTGCTGAGTGAAATAAATAACATCTATAGCAATTAATAAATGGACTTCTGATGTCGTTATTATTATTTAGACACCTTCGACCGTCATGTTAATTATAGACAGACG